GCATGATGCTCTTTAACACGACGGTCTTCGTACAATCGCTGCCGAAAATGCCCGCCATAGCTCACTTCTTTCGGGCAACCCTTTCTGATTTCCTCTAATCCCCCGTCTTGGACTTTCGACTATGGCTGACCATCTTCTATCTCAGATAAAATCATGTAAGTTCTCTCCGGACAAACGTCTCCGATTTGCGTTGTACTTCGAGATGAGACATCTGCAAAAAAAATCAACTAGAAGCTGTTTCTGAGCTTCGGCCAAGATTTTGCGTAGAATATCCTGAATTGTCCCAAACTTGTCATTTACCATCGTCATAGGTTGGCTGACAACCTTCTTTCTTTCTAGTATTCTGTTTCCGGAGAGTTTTCGTAGCATTGCTACCACATGTAGCATAGCCAAGTATTTACAGGGCGTCCCCGTGCAATGGAATACGGGAGTGTTGCACGCCTGACATTTACTGTCTGTTTCGGGTTTCAAAATGTTTGGGTGTTTCAAAATCCAACTTCTCAAGAGATTGTGGGCACATCACAGGTACAAAAGCACCAAATTCCGGTAGGATACTTTAATGGACTCGGTAAGGAGAATCAGTGATGGATGCATTGCGATATAGAGTAAACACGAAAGGGTACAATGAAAATACCGACTTAGGCAGCTTCTGCTTTAAGCACAAATATCACCAAAACTTGTCTCGGGGACATTTGGAGCAACAAGACAAAAGACAAAAGATATCATCACACTTTTAGTCATGCCACTCAGCCGTCGAAGTGACACGTCCGCATTGGCTCCAGGCTCCAAAAATTTGAGGAGGAGCAAGGGCATGTCTAATGTCTTTTATTCATGATTTAGTCAAATTTTTGAAACTCCTAACAGGGGGACAGTAAAGAAAAACTATTCGGGTACGGGGAATCGAACCCCGAGCTGCCGCGCGGTTAGCCACCGGGAAAAGACCCCGGGATGTTTTTTCCCGGTGACTAAGGACCTGGTGGGTCATGAGAGGCGGCAATGTTAGCCGTTACACCATATCCGACATGTGAAGCACTTGCTCAACCTGAAAGATGAGTACAGCTACGCTGTGCCCGGTTCTCTGTGCTCGCGTACTCGGCTCAGACGAGCCCAGCTCATATATAGCCGTGCGTGCCAGCAGACGTTTTACTCTGATTGTTAGGAGCCTTGCCTGCTCCTTACAACGACCATGTCATCTATGACTCCTCCAGATTCAGGCGCACGTACGCCTCCTCGTGGCCAGTCGTCCCCCCTTGTAATTAATCCCAATCAGTATCTTCTCGCCCACAAACGCAATCAGGTTAAGGCTTTCAGTTACAACAAAAACCTTCATCAACTGGAACCTTTTGAAACCACAGAGCTCTTCCTCAAGTTCTTGGATGTCAGCGATGACCTGCTCCCTTCTGAGATTCCCGAATCAGCTCGTGACCTCTCCGTTCCACGCTTTCTTACTGTGGCCAATGACATGGCCAAATCCATGAGAGACCGGCGTCGAGCAACTTCCTTTTCTGTATATTTGGCTCTTCTTGCCGACGTATGATTTTCACTTTTTAGATTTTGCGAGTGATGATCGTCTCTTGGTGTTCAAGGACACGAGAAACAAATTACAACTCGGAGACGTTACGGACACAAAGTGCAGGCCCGACATCACCGCTGCCTTTGAGCGTGACTGGTTGAAGGACGGTATCACCTCCTGGCCATGTATTCGATTGGCAGGGGAGCAGGCATCTAAGGGAAAGAACCGTAGCAAACAGAAGAAAAATGCGATTTCTTATTTGCATTACCTTCTTTTGGCTAGACCTGACCTCCACGTCGCCCAAGGCCTGCTAACCTCCTATTCCGGGGTCATGTTCCTTTTGGGGACTGGCTGCGTTGGTATAGAGGAATTGTCTGTCGGTTGGAACAACAGCGACCTTTACAAGTTATTATATGCGTTCATCTATCGCCTCTATGAGCCTGCCCACTTTGCGGATCCATCGTATATTGGGATGGATTTCAATGGAGAAACCCTTCCGAAGTATACCGTCCGCATCACTCTTCAACCGACCACTCAACATGGTCATGCACAAACGCTTGATTGTCCCAATTTTTATCACATATATGCCAAAAATCCGTTCACAAGCCGTACTCATGTGTTCTCCAATCCATCGTCCCAAGTCGTGGTTGAAGGCAGGGTTCTCACCATACTCAAAGATCGGCTTAGCCAAGTTGGAAGAGGTTTCGATGAATCGACTATTCTTGACGTGATTCATAGACCAAGCAGGGTGCCTGGCGTGGTAGAGGCCGTACACAGTGAAATCACTGAGACTCTGTCTGTAGAAAGGTGCAAGCACCGCTTGGGTCTTCGAGAATCGGGATTGCCTTTCGCCAGTATCCCTACACTGCAGAAAATGTTGGAGATCTCGTTCGACGTGCTAGAAGGTATTTTAAATCCCTGTTGCGATACTCTATGTGCTCACATGTTATCAAGTGCTGCGGTATTTGCGTTTCCAACGCCATGTTCTTCATCGTGATATTAGTTCAGGAAACGTGTTGTATATCGAGAAGCCGTCGAGTAGCCCGTTGTCGAACCCACAGTCTGTTAGGGCGCAAGGGACGGCAGCCAAAGAGTTGCCGCTCTGCTTTGCCAAGTATCTCCTTGGCGAGAGGTACGTATTACAGACGCTGAACTTGGATAGTTGTTGTTAACAAAGACTGGACGTAGCCATGATCCTCAGGAAACGTCGATGCTCCTCCAAAGAGAGTTCTGAGCACAAGCAAAGCGACCGAATCGTGAGTTGTGCGTCTATCCTTATCCGTGAGCTGCCCTCATTTCCATTTTTACCAGGGAACACCTCTCTTCATCTCTCGAGCTGTTGGGCAGGGAGGACCAGTGCCACTCCTTGGTGTAGCCTTTGTTCCTGCGGTACCTAAAAGTCCTGAACCCTATGCCTTGATCCACCCGGATCGAATCAAAAAAAATCCCGGAACTGATTGATCCAGACGAACGGACGATTCTGGAGCCGGGTCAGAATCAGTCACAAGGCGGACAGTGGAGGCGTGAACTCGAACACGATGCGGAATCCGTCTTTTGGCTCCTTCTTTACTGGGCTATGGTCGCGCAGCCTTAGAACCTTTCAGGGAAGCTATCGGCCCGTGTTCCTGGTATAGTTTGTTAGGAAACTCCAATTCCCGAGACAGTTTGATCTATGCGCTGCAGGCGAGGATATCACCAAACCTCACCCATTCGCTCTATGAACCCTTGCAGCCTTTGATTCACAAGCTTGCTGCCATTCTTTTTGTTGACAGACATTGGCTTGCAGCAGCCGATGTTCGAAACGATCCAGAATACACCATCGAAGCCCTCCAGCGCTTGATCCTTGAATTCATCCTTGACAAACGTGGTGCAGAGTTCATGAACCATCGTGTTAGCACCTCCTTCCGTTCAGTGAGGGAGGTGCCGGTATGTCGAGCATTGGTCATCCACTACCAGCCAGGAGATGGATTCAGCGGTGGAAAGGGGGGAAGGCGGAGCGAAGCGACGTCGTCTTGACCCGAAAGGAACAAAGGTAGGTAGTGGAGATGTGGATCTGTGAACTCCTGTCCATTCTTATTGTTGTGCTTACAGGGCATGGAAGACATCCAGCCGGATGATATCAATGAAAAGTGGTTGTGAATCGGTCGTGCCAATCGGTCGGTGAGCGGGAGGGGGGGGAACTATCAATTCTGGACTTGACCTGGTTGTCACAAGCCCGTTGTGGCAGGAGGAAAGCAGCCACTAGCCTACTCACAGTCAGTTGTACTCGGCGAAATAGATGCTTTCAAAAGTCTCGTGCACCGCGCAACGCAAATAGATTACGCCTGTAGTGAGATCACTGCGGTGCAACGGGGGGGGACGTCTGGCTTTTGGAAATTTCTGCACAAGCGTCAAGCGCCGAATCGTATATATGTATTCTGTACAGAGAAGACATGAAGTCTCGGAGAGACTGTGGAGGGTCATCAAGATTGGGACCAAGGAAGAGGGGTGACCTTCAGGTAGTTCTCGGATACATACATCCCCTTTCCCTTTGCTTCTCGAGCCACAAACCGCTGCACACATCCCCTAGGTCCAAGACCCACAAATCGCAAACCCCGGTCGATGCACGCCAAACAGACAACCTCCACGCTCAAAAGTCTGCTTACAGGCAAAAGCCTCTCAGCGCGGTTTTTTTATAAAAGCCAATTCGGCCCGCATACCCCTCTCTCACTCAAAGGTCCGATAACTAAGGCAGGCAACACGGGACACAGTGACGACTAGCTTAGCCTGGGGGTGGTGGGACCCATTGTAAGACACATGAAAAAAAAAAAACTAGTTAGTGCTACATAGGGTTCTGCATTCCAAGGCGCACACGTTTATGGACTAAGGATTTAAATAAAAGATCACTTGGAGGCCGATACAGCCGAGTTCACCATTTTTCCAATTACTTCGACCGCCAGCCTGCAGGGGAGGACCTTGAGGTGGAGTTGCCTGCCTCGTCATCATCTCATACGGTCAGAGTTGGGAAAATTGTCTGGGCGCAACGCCAACCTCAAAGGTTAAAACAAATCACGACCCTACCTCAGTTCTCTGGCAGCCGGCAACGATTAAGCTCCGTGCTCGATCTTCTTCTTGAACCTTAAGGCTGATAGAGGTTTGATGTGAACCTTAAACGCTATGGTGTGCACTGGCTGTGTGCTCGAGATCTACGCGTTAGACCCATGGGCTTGCAGGGAAGATAGCCGGGTAAGCTGTCGTTTCACGGAGGCCTTGGCTGAAGTTTGCAACATGGCGGAGTAAAAGTAGGAGATCATTTTCCACGTCAAGGTGCTACGTTCAGCACTTTACTCCGTACAAATGACCCAACAGCATTGCCTGTGACTCGTTAAACATACAGAGTCCCTGATTCCACATCGAGCTATGTCATCCGTCTGGACAGACGAAGAAAGAGTCGATCGGGGCCACCCTGGCTACCTAGCGAGACGTACAAGGGCTTGAGGCTTGAGAGACACTCCGTCGCCTCGAATCGCCTCGCGGAGCCCCATCGTGAATTTCGATCTCTTCTCCATCTCATCTACTGATCTGTGATCTGCATAAGTCAGGTCCAGCATCCTTTTATGCGGGGCGAGCGATGCTCCTGGCGGCGTTCCGAGGTCGGAAAACGAACTTGTTGGTGTTGAGTACAGATGTACTGCACTGCAGATCATCATCGTTGTCGTTATTATCCCCAAAGGAGTTTCCCGCAGAACTACGGACGAATCACAACGACAAAAGACGATAGAGAAGACGAGTAAATGATGCTCGTGCTCATGACGTCGGGCCAACCAACTTTGTGAGACGTAAAAATCGACGTCCTAGGTTGGGAGGGTCGATACGCCACAACTGGGCCCATGACAACCTTGTGGGTGAGCAATGAAATGAGGTGAGTGAGTACACGAGCGGAACGTGTATCCCTAACAGACCCCGAAAGGATATTCCTTCCTGGGCACAGAGCTTCCCGCATGCTCCTCGTGGCCTGTAAAGGATGTCCGCGGACATGAACAAAGGTGATGTCGCCGCACCGCGGCCGGTGACTACACTAGACTTGTGTCCTCGGCACGAGAGCGACTAGAGAACGCCTGTCCCGGGACGTCAATCGCCGCCGAGTGCTTCTCATGGTAGCGCGGGCGAGTTGACAAGACGGCATATTTCATTTCAGCACCGCGTTGAAGAGTTGCTACAGTTGATAAGGGGTTGAGAGGGGGTGGAGGCAAAGGGCCAGAGAAGAAGACGAGAGGATAATACCTCCGTCGGGGATTCTGAGAAGTCTGATGTTGTTTATGATGAAACAGAGGAAAAACGGGGGGAGGGTTGACGACGTCGGAACAGGTAAAGGCATCATCGGGCTGGGAATGGAGAGACGAAGCAAGAGATGACAGTCCTTAGGGTCACAGTACCGGGCATGACGAGGAACGAGAAGCAGGAAGCTCATCTCATCTCATAGAAGGCCTCCAGTGCAGCCAGCCGATAGGCGATGCATTGGCCAGCAC